AAATACTCAATTCATTATCTTAATTCTGATTAGTCCACTCAAGGCCGTCGGCATAATATAATTTTATCTATATTTGCTATCTTATGCACAAGTATAAAACATCGCCAAAGTACACACACGTGAGTAGTTGACAAAGTCAAATATTTGGTTGACAAAATAAATGGAATGATTAGAATAATTGATCTGTCCAATACTAGTTGCTACAACTTGTAGGGAGTTACACCACCCCAAAATAAAAAACAATAGATGAGTCCGAACAACTCATACAAAAATGAATGTATTTTTATGCAAAAACTTTCAACTTGAAAAAACAGACAAAATAATATAGATAATGCAATGAGAAGACGAAGTTTATCAGAATCATTTGATATATTTGCTCAATACTTTTCGAACAATCTGATCACACATATACTTGTTAAGAACATTTATATATGGAAATTGAAAAGTCAACTAGACAGGTTAATGGTAAGTCATAACAAAGGAAAAATAATGAAGTACACAAAAACAAATGTGATTTCAACAGTTGAAATCATGAGTCATTTGAATCCAGACCACCATGGAAAACCTGGAAGCACTGGACGGCCGTTTTGTCCTATTGTGGGACTCTTCATCAGTGCGTATCCACGACCCCGCCCCGCGGGATCGGAACCCAGGACCTATCAGTCTCGCGCCAGGCGCCTAATCAACTAGACCACTGAGCCGGCATCCAACTGTGTTAATGTCTAACTTCAACTAATCCACGAAATTGAGCGACACATCCACTATTGTCTTCAGTGAGTTACTATCTCACAACAGACCTGGTTGAACTCCACTGGTCACTACTTCTCACTAGAACTCCAGGATATACCTCTTGAAGTCAGTCACTAGTGAGCATAGGTTGATTAGTATCAAAAGGGTTTTTGTGGAGATTGTAGTGATTTCAACAGTTGAGATCATGATAGGTCCTGGGTTCGAATCCCGCGGGGCGGGGTCGTGGATACGCACTGCTGAGGAGCCCCACAATAGGACGAAACGGCCGTCCAGTGCTTCCAGGTTTTCCATGGTGGTCTAGCTTCAATTTACTCATGATCTCAACTGTTGAAATTACTACAATCTCCACAAAACCCCTTCTGATACAAATGTGATTACCACTCTGGATAATAAATTAGTAATAACGGGGTAGGTTAAGTGTAAGGACAAATTGTTTTTGAACACATAAAGGGGTTTTCAGTTTCCGTATAGCCAAGATTTCAATAAACCTTAGTATACGTCCTTGAAGGCTTTTGTATAACACTACAAATGCTGATTGATGTCAACCTTATGACCCGTCTCAATCAAATGTTTCGCAATGGATGATGATGTCTGTCTATCCTGTGAGTCTTCAACTAAATTTTCCACATGTCCCATGAATACATCAGTCACCAATGGTCCTAGAGGGCTCAATTCGAAAGGTGTGTCTGCATAAACGTTATGTTGATAATATAAAGTCATAGGGGATAAGGGTGAAAACATAAACCGCTTGTTAAAAGAATTCAATAGAAGTCAAAAGCACATTTCTCTTACATATGAAGAAGAGAAGAACAGCCAACTTCCTTTTCTAGACATCCTGATTAGTAGGAGAGATGATGGTTCCATCCAACGTGCTGTATATAGAAAGCCAACATGGACAGGACAATATCTTAATTTTCATAGTCACTGCCCTATTCATTACAAACACGGTTTAATAAAGAGCTTATTCAATAGAATCAATCGTATTTGTACTAGTGATACTATTGAAGTAGAGACGAAGCTCGTGACTGATATCTTAATGAATAATGGTTATTCTTTGAAGTTCATAAACCGCTGGAATGGTTGCAATACGACTAGACCTATGACGCTTCTGGCACCCAAAAAGCGAGTTTATATTACGTTACCATTCAGAGGCGACAAAAATAGTCTCATGTTGAAACGGAGACTTAAATTAGCTATCAACCAGACATTTTATGCAGCCCAACTTGTCATTATCGAAAAGACAAGGTCTATGTTTCACCAAAAGCCCAAACAGCACGAAAGCGATTGTGTCACATTCCATTGTCTATCAATTTACATGTATGTGTGAAAACACGTGCATAGGGCGGAGCAATTGTGGTTTTCAATTAAGGGTGGCGGAACACATACCCAAATGGCTGCAGAAACAAATGAATTCCAATGGTCAAATAAGATCATCGGATAAACATACATCTCCCTCCATTGCGAAACATTTGATTGAGACGGGTCATAAGGTTGACATCAATCAGCATTTGTAGTGTTATACAAAAGCCTTCAAGGACGTATACTAAGGTTTATTGAAATCTTGGCTATACGGAAACTGAAAACCCCTTTATGTGTTCAAAAACAATTTGTCCTTACACTTAACCTACCCCGTTATTACTAATTTATTATCCAGAGTGGTAATCACATTTGCTTTTGTGTACTTCATTATTTTTCCTTTGTTATGACTTACCATTAACCTGTCTAGTTGACTTTTCAATTTCCATATATAAATGTTCTTAACAAGTATATGTGTGATCAGATTGTTCGAAAAGTATTGTGCAAATATATCAAATGATTCTGATAAACTTCGTCTTCTCATTGCATTATCAAAATTTATCAAAGGGACTAATTGTTTTAAATTTCTGAAAAGTAGACAAAATAATATGTTTGATAGATCGGCATGTAACGATATTTAGCATTCATGTCAGCATCTAATCAATATAGGACTATCAAATATTAGTCAACTTCCTATCCTTTCCAACAGTTAAGTAGTGATAGAAAAATTTTTTCTGATTAGTGAAGAAAATGTAAAAGATCCATGGGACAAATGAGTAAGTTAATGAAAATTTCAATGAGAATTGGTTTTAAAATAATGTTTTAATCATAACTGAAGAATTTCAGTTATTAACTTAGCATGGTAGTTTATCAGTACAACTGTTAAACAAGGTGTTAATAGGACTATTTAGTAAATCCGGTAATTAATCTTTACACTTGAATACAGTTTCAAACTGATCACATAACGATTAAAAACATTCTAAAACAGTAAAATCTGAAAGTGATAATTGAAATTTTGAGAATGTTTTTTTGGTGAATCTGAATATGCGTTTCAGTCTCTCAATCAGTTATAAGCAACGTAGAACCTAGTACATGTATTCATCAGTTCGAGTTGTCACACTATGTCAACACAATGAGATGAAATTATCAAGATAAATGTCAGAGTAGTAGAATTAATAACAGCATCCGTGTTAGTAAGCAAGCATTAGACGATATGATTACAGAGAAACGAAAGTATTCGTGCAGTAAAGTTTAAGTTACAAAATCTGAATGAATACAAGAAGTAAATGAATCTTTATTTGTTTATTTATTTGAACATACAAATATTGATCACAAAGGGGCACCGGATGTATATGCGTCACACAAGTCACTTGATTTGTGTGTAGGCTATGATACTACCCAAACCGAAGCAGGTGGTTTTCTTAGAGGGCCACACTCGGAGCCTTCGACCTAAAGATCTGATCCACAAAGCAGTGGAATAACGTCAGGAGGTGCGGTCCCATGGTAGCCGGTGACCAATAATTGGTTCATACGCCATTTGTTCTTTCAGGATCCTGGAGCGCATTTGCACCATTGGTTTGGAATAAGGGTTTTCCGATTCCTCTAGGTGGATCCTTCGTATCCACCACCAACCCGGTTAAAGCGTCGGACATTCACTTTTCTTCCTTTGAATTTTGTAAACAACACCCTGTCGCGAAAATGTAGTTAGTAGGACTTTTCTGGCAGTATCTATATACTCGTGGCCATGTGAGAGCATTTCGAGAGTGAGAGCTGACTCTCCCCACCTTCGGCCGTACCTAGGGCATTTGAGTGCAAAGCCCACTAGCTCCGGCGAGGCAGATACGAACCAAGAATGTATCTACACCATTGGAACTGATTCCCTTTCATATAATCAACATCTCCAACTATTCCTGCCACCCTTGAACAGTTTTCAGTTAATGGTTCAAGTTATCTCGACTCGAGTACCTTATTGACTGGATATCTGATATCAGGATCTCTGGAAAAATGACTCCGTTGTTTTATTAGTCAAAAAAAACTATGACATATATACAAGAGATATGAAAAACTAACATTCATGTGAATAATTAACACAATGAAAATAGAATGCTTCAACGAAATCTTTTTCAAATACTTCATTTTGAACGCTGTGCAAAATTGTGTTTGTTATGAACATCTGGAATCACGAACTGTACTTCTAAAAAGAAAATTTATTCAATCCCTTTTTAATATCATAGTCGTAATCTGTGGCTTTATTTTCTTTCCTTCATTCTGTAATTCACTTATCCCTAATCAATTGGTTACTGTTTTTATGCTCTTTCTAAATAGATTTAACTTTCGAATTAATTTTATCAATATTTGATCAATTTATCGTCTATAATTAATAATCTTTTCAGCTTGGGGTTATGGAGATTGTTGAATTTCATTGAAGTCTTGAACCGATCAATGTTAGACGATTCCCACACCCCAGGCTGAAAATTATCATATGCTCACTGGTGATTAACTTCGGGAGGGAATTCTCGAAGTTCTAATGACAAACCGTGACCATTGGAGTTAAACCGTGTAGGGTGTGAGACACTTACCCACCGAAGACAATAGAACATGGTCGCGCGACATGGTGGATTGGTTGAAGTTAGACACTCATACTATTGGGTGCCGGTTCATTGTTCTAGAGGTTGATGGTTTGCGCACGAGACCGAGGGTGCTGGGTTCTAATCTTGCATGCGGAATCGCACTGCTGAGGAGTCACTTGCCGGGACAAACAGCCGTCCAATGCTTTCAGGCTTTCAATGGCGGTCTAAAACTGATCGATTCATGAGTTCAATGAAATTAATAATCTTTGTTTAATTGATGATAGTTTGTTTATTTTTCAACTTCTACAACTATTTTATCATTCATTATACAATCAATGCTTTTATTTTTGTATTATTACTTTCATACTGTAATCAATAAATTGTTTTCAGTAACAAGCAGGTTACGAATTATCACAGTTTTAAGTATGATGTCATTTTACTGAATCATCTTTTTTCTTGTTTTGTGTCTTATTGTTACTTACAACTATCACACAGCTAAAGAACTAATCAAATCTGAAAGCGAACACCAGCCAATTGTGGGAAAAATTTGTAGTTCAGGAGGATAATTTCACAATGACGTATTTTCTAAGCTTGTTTGAACTCAAAATATGTCAATTGTCTGTATTTTTCTTTAGACTTTCCTATCAAATTTCGTTTTCCATTGCTCATGTATATGTCTAGTGGATTCCGTGTTATTTTTTACGCTTTAATACTGTATTCTTTTGTTAATTAAGTCTTCATAGATTCTAAATTACAAACTGATCTTAGCTAGACCACCGTTGAAAACGTAGATGCATTGGATTATTGTTTCATCCTAATATTATGCTTTAACAGTGCTCATACACAACCCCGCATCTCAGAATCAAACCTAAGGCCTTCGATGTCGCATAAGAAATTTTAATCTCGAAACTATGGTGTCAGATCCAATGGTTTACTAGTCTAACTTCAATCCACGATATTAAGCGACCATTTTCCATTACCTTCAGTAGATAACTCTCACATCCAATATGGTTGGACTCTACTAGCCACTGCTTTTCACTATAACTCCAGGGATATCATCTAGAAGTTAATCACTTGTGAGCACGTGATTAGTATCAATGTAGGGCTTTGTAGAGATTAAAAAACTTTCATAGATTACAAGCCACAAACTGGTCTTAATTTTTGTTTCCCTTAACCAATTTAAAATATGTTACAAAATTTCAAGTATTAGATAATAATGCGATCGGTTATGATTTCTTTTTCGTGTTTGTTGATCTATTAATAATGCTACAAAATAATGGATCTTTTTTTCTGTGATTAAATAATATTCATATACATTCATGGGAGTTGTGCTTGTTAGCTATATATCCTGTTCATTTATTTTAGCTGTGATGTTTTCAGTAGTTTTGTTGAAAGCAGTTACGGTGTATTTTGTTCTAAGATCTTTCGTATCGCAATGTGTATTTCATGTTCAATGTTTCATAGTATTCATTATTTGTTCGATTAGTATTGAATTTTGGTGAATGTTCTTTCATTGTTCCTGTTCGTTATTTTTATTAATTCTTCGACTTAGTAGTAAGTTGAATAATTCATTTTATTTCTCATTGTTTCTCTGCTATTACGTTGTACATAGTTATAAGTGCTTTTCTATTATGTTATAGGTACATGTCCCATTATTAAAAGAAACACAAACAGATTACAGCAATGAAAAAACTATGAAGGTGCCGTTAAATACAGATACGAATTATCACTTGGAAACTAAAAGTACAATACCTGAAAAGTTGATCAATAGAAAGAAATCTAATTCATGTATTATACTTGTTATTTGTTAATTTTGTTTCAATCTATTCAGTATGACTGTATAACGTTATTAATATTTGTCAGATCTGTTTAGAACTAGAATACATTTTATCCTATTAGGGTAAGACTATAATTTACTGGCGCTCTTGAACAACCGATCAAAATTAAGCTGACCGTTGCAAGAATTCAAAACGCTGTTATGGACAGCTCGCTGTTAAAACTCACGATTTTCATTATGATGTTTTCTTTGCTCAATAAACTGTTAATGTCAATATGTCTGCGTTAGGAGTGTTAATGCTAAGAGTATTAGGGCTAGGATTTACGAGTTTTTTTATTTATAATGTGCACTTCTTGACATAGTTGAAATTGGTAAAGTTATCAGCTGTAGAAAAAGGGTATTCATCTACAGAACATTAAAAAATCATATGCAAGAGGTTTTCTGCAGTTTAATTTGACCAAGTTTCAGTTTCTTTATGACATTTGAGTAGTTTCTAAGTGAAAAAGTTAGTTTGTAAGTTAAAATTTAGAAGAAATGCTGATCCAACAGTTTTAGATTGCATCACAATCTGTAACTCAAAGTTCAGTGCGTCTATTTCTATATAGTTGTTGAGTTATGCTAGTATATTTGGGTTTAACATGGAAAAGGCTTTTTCTGTACCTAAACATTGTTTTGTTAAATAACAAGAACCTACTTATGTAGAACAATGTCTCAGTGGTTAAAATAATCAACGTTCAACCGAAAGGTTACAAATTCGATCCCTTTTTAACCTACTTCATGTCATAAATAAAGAGATAAATAATCAACTTATTCATCAGGTGCTTAGGTATAATCCAAACTTAAAGTATCAGAGCTAGTTATATTAATCCAGTTTCCTAGACTGAAGTAGATCAAGCGGGAAAAGTCAACTACCTTAGACACTGAACCACTGCTTGGTTTATGCAAACAATCCGTGTCATTAGCTCAAAGTTTGTCTCAAAGTCGAATATGTAAATGTATATTTAGGAAATGAGTTTTTAAGTAACTTGTACTCTCCTTTTTCTCATGGTTCTTAGGTTTATGTAAATATTTTATAAATCTTACGCTGTGCATAACATATCACTAATAAATTGAGTGTTTTACATTTTTTTAACGAATTCAGCGGACAATGAAATCAGAAATTTTCAATCTTTCTTGAGAAAATTGCTCTGTGATATTTTAACCAGAGAACTATTGCCTAATAAATATAAAGATGAACCAAACATGATTCAGTCAACCGTTTCTTCCAATCACAACCGATATTGTAATACATTGAGTCCACAGAATCCTATCAGCGCCATCAATGACAGAATTTACAATCCCGATTCTTCAAATACTGAAACAAAACTATCTTTTAATAACGAAAATTATGAACAAGCTATTTCAACCCCATGTTTTTATCCTAATGTGAGACATGAGGTGCTTTTTTACTTTTTGTTTTCATTTTTGACTACATAATTTGTGGAAATATATATCACAAATCGCAATTACTTTAATAAATGTTAGTCTAGATAGGCATTGAGTTAGTCATTAGAATTTCGACAACTATTTGATAAATCTTTTTTTTTACCATCTTGACTAAAGTAAAAATAACAAACCATGAGGAATAAGATGAGTTCATGTACTTCAGGGCTTTTTGTTCAGCTGCTTAAAATAAAAATAAAAAAAAACAATAGTAATGATTATTTATAACCAATGTACATACTTTGTATCATCTTAATGAAGATCTGTAGAATAATGACGAGTATAGATGAATTACAGAGTGGTGAAATGGAATAATATTTATATATTACTAACTTTTAAAGCTCTTGGAGGATAATATAACAAATTTCGTCTAAATTCGAATGAATAGTTTTACAGCATTTGGGCGCCAAGTTGGTGCGAGACATTAAGGAGGAAGGATGTATTCCTAAGATCTCAGTGAAACGTTGAATTTATTTCAAATTCATTCGCTGAGATTTTGCAAATACATTCTTCCTCCTTACTGCCTTGCAGAAAAAGTTTAAGACATATATAGACATGTTTAGAAATTAATGTCAACCATAAAATTGGATAGACCTACCAAGTAAAATGGCCAAAACTGAAAAATGAAGTAAGAATGAAAGAGTAGGCATTCTCCACTGAGTACGTGAGAGAAGATATTACGTAACTGAGTGATGGAAATCATGAGTCACTAGAGTAGTAGGAGATTTACAGCTGTATCCCTTTGAATATGTAGGTTCGGTTTCCATCTTTAAGTAGCGGTGGTCTCGCGGAAACATAGCCACTTCTTTGTTGTTGTTTATCATGAGCCGTCTTGAAGTGTTAAAATTATCTTCATCAAGTAGATGATGACAACGACACTGTTGGAAACATATTGAGTGCTTCCATTCTCTGTAACTTTCCTATTAACATATATCTTGATGTCAAGTTAAGCGATATAGTAGATGGTTTTTCATTTGTATGGTTCACTGTTGTTGATTTATATTCAATTGATCGAAAGTATTTTGTTTGAATACACCACAGAGCTGATCCGCTGGAGGTATAATCGAGTATATGGAAATGTACTTGTTAAATAAATGACGAACAACAAATTATCACATCTATTCTTCTCATACTTAACTAACTAAACTTTTGTAAACTTTGACAATTACTTGCCTCGTTTCACCTTTTTATCCTTTCTACAAACTATGACAATATCTTATCATTGTTTAATTTTATCTTACAGTTCTTGAATGAATTACAATCACTATTGCGCAATAACTGTTATTCAGACGATATGAAGGGAAGTGATCATCAACCGACTGTAATGCAAATTTTAACCGATGGGAAGAATAGTTCGTTGTATACATGTTTGGACAACTCAACATCATCGTTATTGGAAATTAATTCGAACAATCAATTGAAAACTCCTTTACTTGGTATGCATAATTCAAACGATAAGTTATTGTGTCCGGAAGTGATAGAGAAAAATTCAGTGGATACTAGTAAACCACAACATTCACAAAAATCATCATATCATTCATTGGCAGAGACATCTATGAGTCAAATGTCAAAGGATTCCATAAATAATAACGATACTGTTAATACTACCGCTACTACTGTATTCTCTCCTAATTTTTTACATTCAATACATAGTTCAGTAAAAAATCATAACATTCAAAATTCAACGTTTGATTCTTTATTGTTGGTATGTAGTCAACCATATACAACAGTGTCAATTGATTCAAAATCATCGACGTTAACTTCATCAACATGTACTACTCACAGACAGCAACAATATACATCAGTGGAAACATCTGTTTCATATCCATCAAGTCCTTTATTCAAATATCGATATCCAATAGGTATATCACTTTTTTACTCTCCATATCATCATGTTTATAGAGACGTATTTAGAACGTAGAAAAGGATTATTACATATGGGGGTAGTAGTAATCTTAGTAGTATAAGTGTTGGTAGTAGCTACATCGTTAATAATAGCGGTAATATTAGTACACTATGAGCTTAATAAGGATTTTATTGGTTACTGCTCAGTGATCATTTAATGCATGAAAAATGTATATACAGTTTCACCCTTATCATTGTAATCGTCCATTTGTGTGCTGCCATTATTCTTACCATACTTTTTCATCTGACACGATTTCATGTGATTTAATGGGATGCTCTATCCTACTGAGATGTTGAAAATCACAATGAAGCCATTATATCATTCATATCAACTACAGAACAAATAATCTAACCATTCCGATTCTCAAAGATTAAGAAAATGACTCTATTTAAACTTTTCAGAGATGTTATTTTAACTTTTGCCAATAAACTTCAACAGTAAATCATTCAGTTGACTTAGTTCGTAAGTAAAAATTAAAAAAGAAGCAGTAGCCGTTTAAAAGTACAGTTGTTTCAGTCCACTCAAGTTTCATGCGATGATTAAGAAATTTATCACTTCCGAATACCAAGTTAACATCAATCGGTGAATACTGTAATCTCTGTAAATGATTTATCTACCTATATATTAATTTATGTTTACTTTGTTGTTATACCCTTTATTTTAGATGATCACAAATTTTCGAGTACACCTCTTCATTCATCATTATTTTCACCGACTCATATCATGCCAGAAAAAAGTTTTGATGCCACCATTATTACTTCTACCACTCCTGTTACTACTATTATTACTACTAATTCGAAAATGAATGAACAAACTATAACACATCAGTCTCATTTACCTTTTATGAACACTTCGATTGCTCCTAATCAAATAAATACCACTAATGTTAATCAGATTTCTATGTTTAATAATAATGATAATAATAATAATAATACTCTTGTTCAAAGTTATTCCGACCTACTATTTATGGATGTTGATAATTATCAATGTGAAAATTCATCAAGCTGTAAACAAACTGTGTCGAATATTACTAATAACTGTACTACATTTAACACATTTTCATCTGTACGAACACTTACTTCTAATAAACATAGTAATACCACTTCTACCACTACTAATGATACTAACAAAAGTAGTAGTATTAATAGTTCACTTATTCAGCATAGAACTTCAAATGGTTTATATGTATGCATGGTATGTTCTCGTCAGTTTACTCGTTCTGATATGCTTGTAAGACATGCTCATGTGCATACAGGTCATAAACCATTTGAATGTATAATATGTGGTCAAGCATTTAGTCGATCTGATCATTTATCTACACATCAACGAACACATACTGGTCAAAGACCGTATCAATGTTCATTATGTTATTATTCTGCATCTCGACGTGATATGATTACAAGACACTTAAGAGTACATCAAAGAAAAGTAAGTTTTTACCATAATTTCTTTGAAAATTTCATATTTTACTCGATTTTTTTCAGTTGTACGATAAATTTCAATAATTAGATTCAAATGATCGTACCACACAAATAATTTCCATGTTGATTATTCAACCAACTATCATATTCTATTTAAATCAATTTACTTTTTCCTGAAATTCTTTATATTATTATTTTTATCGTTGAAGCAATGTCAGTAGTCCTTAGGTTTGACATTGCGTGTTCGAGATCAATGACAATAACTTTATTGATGTCATCATTTTGAAACAATAGCCTCAGTGGCGTGGATATGTTTTGCGAATGTCATCTTAGGGTCTTTCACATTGTGTACTAATTGCCAACACTTGGACTGAATTGAAAAAAAAACCAGAGTGGTATTTCCTTAATGGCTTGATACCATGATATAAAAGAAATTTATATAGGACTGAAATCTCTCGATTCATTACGACTCCTTGGTTGGCATCTGAGAGATCACTAAACACATTGGTGTGAGACGTTATCAGACATGGCTGAAGACAGATTCTAGTAGTGGTTGTGCTGTAATTTTCTTTTACATTCTTTATGCATTTGAGAGTAATTTCTTTAGCTTGAGTTCTGAAATATCATTTATATTGTTAACTGAACTGTGTCTCATTATGCACTGTTCTTGTTAATAATTTGTTTTATTTATTATTACCATTATTTTCTCTTTAATTTTACTCCCTTTTCCTAACAATGTTATCCATAATTTGTGTGCGGTGTCCAATTTTTAAGAGCTAAGTTTTATATACCTTCTTTCATTTAGCTATCATTTTGCATAGCTTTTTATATAGGGGAAAGTAACCATTATGCATGACGATTATCAACTTTCTTTCATCTTAAGGTGTATTTGGAAACGTTATGCCGTTCATTAAATTTTGTTAGGATAGTTTTGGTGAACTCTAAGACATATTCTACACAATCATTCATTTTATATCATCTTGTTTTGTGGGGAATTCAGTCTTCGTATAGGGATGCTATACCTGTGTAAATTTCAAGCACATTTCCCTCCCAATGTTCAAAGTGTGCGCAATATCTAGCGTTTTTTCCGTTTATTTAGTGGACGAATGCTGGGTACACGAACATAGTTTTTACTGGACATTTCGTTACAAGCCGTAACTTTGACTTTATTTGCATCTTTCATCTGACAAGTCGAAAGGCGGTACAGTAGCGTGTTCACAGAAAACATACATAGATAACTTTTGATAATTAAAATGAATTCCCCAGTAAAAACCACATTCTTATATGGAGGATTGAGACATAAAATGAAGGTGAAAATGCTAGATATTACTTGCTGAGCATATATATATATATATAATCATTTATGTTCCTTCTTTCTACTAAGGAAATCTAGCCTATTTTTTATTTCTAGGGTCAACTAGTTTCAACCAATGAAAGTGGTGGACCTATGAAATTACATTTCACTATAAACTTTTCACAGCCTTCTAAGTTTCCTATCAAACAGAAAGAAGACAGAAATACTTGTTCTGTAGTGAATGTAACAGATAATCGTTTCTCAGTCATATCATCACAGTCTCCTCATTTCAATAGTATTCATTAGAGCATATACATAACCTCACTGGAAAAAGCGCAACAATGTTTGAATGCATTTCAGTTTAGCATATAAACAATTATCAGCTGAATGACAATCGAATTTTGTTTTAATAAAATCACTCATTTTGTTCAGGTAAGTAACAATTTTTATCACTATTTTTAGTTTTGATTTACCATTCTTTGATGTAAACAAGTGATCAGTTAGTTTATCTCATAGGATAATGGTCATCTACATCGTAGTTTTATGCAAATTTTCTTAATTTCATAAGTGTTATGGGCATTTATATATATATATATATATATATATATATATATATATATATATCAGAGCTTATGTATAGTGAATTGTTTGGAGCTGGATGTGCTCAAGCATTATTTATTACTTACTTACACCTGTTACCCCTTGTGGAGGAGCATAGGCCACCTACCAGCCTTCTCCGTTGGACTCTGTCCTGGGCAATCCTCAGTTGCTATTCATCCTTCTATGTCTGCTTCCGATTCTCGACGCACTGCGTTTGTTGACCTTCCTCTTTTCCCTTTCCCTTCAGGATTCCAATTCAGCTCTTGCCTCGTAATGCAGTTTGATGATTTCTTCAATGTATGTCCTATCCACTTCCAACGTGTTTTCCTAATTTCCCCTTCAAAAATGTATTATGTAGAAGAAAGCTCAATTCGTTAAACTCTAATTTAGTAGGGAGTATTTCTAAAAAATAGCTATTTCTGAAACTTATTAGACTTATAACGATAAATATAGGTGTGCTAAACGTGATTCCTCACTAATTCTGAGAACACTAATTTAGATACCTTCATTTATATTTCTATAAACTGAGCTCTTGTGTTGTAGATTTGTTTTTATTTATTTGATCAAATTGAAGCAAGTAGAATACAGTGGAAAGCAGTGGACCAGTAGTTAACATTTCGATAGTTTGATTACTTCTAAGTGCCTTGTGATATCGTGTCTAATAAATTGTAATCATTTTGTTTTTTAGAAATATGTTATATTTTGCTAGAGAATAAATACAAGATCGGTCTGCAAGTGTAACACTCTTATGAAAAAGGAAAAAAAATACACTGTATTTAAAAACCCCAATTTTCAGTTACATCATCTGAAAAGCACTAAAAGTGACAATATATTTATCAAATTAGTATATAACAACAAACAGCATTTACCGTAAATCAAGAAACAACGTATTGAAAACTAGTTAGATTACCATTCAAAGAATGATAATTTGTTTCAAATAAAAGCAAGTACATATAAGAGTAGGAGAAAGTAATTATATGAGTAGAAGAAACAAAAAAGTATTAATGGTCATAATGAATTGGTGTTTTAGAAAAAGAATTTGTCATCGTAGTCTTTCTGGCATGTAAATAGCATAATATTACTTGAACAAATGAATAACTCAAAGTAATATAACGTAAAATTATAGTGAGATGAAATTGTAATAGTAGTTTTTTAAAAATCATCCTCTTTTGATAAATATTCATACAGGCAACGACGGATAGTGCCTAGCAGTGGAATCCAGGACACGCGTTTCGTCCTATTTCGGACAGCTGGATGTACCTGTATCTCAGAGTTGATGTGCACTCTAGGACTCAAACTCAGTATCGTTCGCTTCAAACGCCATCGCGTTATCCACTTAGCTACTGAGTCCTGATAGCCACTTGCTTGTGCAATGGGGTGAAGTTTAATTCATTTGATATTGTTTTACTTGAATCTTCCCATTGATGTTTTAGGACTGAAATTGATCAGTCTCTTATTGGCATATGTGCATACTGTGCGTGTGCCTCGATATTGCCTTAATTTACAAGCATTATAAGCAAAGATGGATAGTGGCTAGCAGTGGAATCCAGGACGCGCGTTTCGCCCTGTTTGGGACTCGTCAGCTGGATGTACCTGCATCTCAGAGTTGATGTCCACTCTGGGACTCGAACTCAGTACCGTTCGCTCCAAATGCCATCGCGTTATCCACTTAGCTACTGAGTCCTGATAGCCACTTGCTTGTGCAATAATGCTTGTGAATCAAGGCTATATCGAGGTAATACACACAGTATGCACATATGCCAATAACAGACTGATCAATTGCAGTCCTAAACATTAATAGGAAGATTCAAATAAACAATACCAAGTGGATTCATAAAAATTTTATTTTAATCCTAAGAAAAGATCAACTGAAACAAATCTCTTAAATATACATGAGTTTCCTTGTTTTTCTGAGAATTGTATGTGATTGTATAATATACAAGCTAGGTGTTCCTTGGAAAAACTAAACATTACATAACAAGATGTGAGATTGAATATTTCTAGATATTTTTTTATCTATACACACTAAAGCGTGTTACATTGGTGATTATCAACTATTGAAGTTGCGTACATTTTTGATTGTCAGTTCTTTATAATGAATGACAAATATCAGGATCATATGCTTTTGAGACGATATTTTACTTTATTAGTACACTATAAGGTACTTAAAATGTCCTAATGCTTTTTTAATATTTATTTACTTTTTAGCTTGACTTCCATCACTATGTCTTCCGAAATAAATTCTTACTCTATATGAGTTATTTCGTCTGTGCTTAAAGCTTAAATTTATATCGATAAGTGTTTGGAAGCAAAAATATTTGTTTCTTTACATATTTGTTCACAGCAATACATACACACAATCTCTGCCATTGTGAATAATTAAATGTTTTATGATTTCAAATTGTTGTTATTTCGATTGAGCAAAAAAGTATTTCATGTAGAGATTCCAATTTATATTATGCAAGAAACATATTACATCATCATAAATAGTCTTCATTCCACTCCTTCTCCTACCATCAATATATATATATATATATATATATATATATATATATATATATATATATATAATATATATATATATATATATATAATATATATATATATATATATAATGATGGTCGAATTCAATAGAATTGATAAATTCCAAAAGATGATCTGTTTTCATTTTTTTGTGGTTCATATTTTGTTTTCTATAAGAACAATATAATTTGTTCCTCCAATTATATTTTCTATTTGTCTACTGTCACTATGTTCTTTTTTCTGTTTGATTTTTTAAAAGTTCTTCTTTTTTCCTCTAAAATAATATTGTTCATCTTTAACAAGTATTAGAAAAGATGAAATAATAATCACTGAATAGACTGTTCAAGGAAAACAAAAATTGTGGAATATCGACTAATGAATTAACGCGTTTATGTATTGATGCATTTTTAGTAATATTATTAGTGTCATCATGAAATTGATTTCTGTGTAAAGTTCTGTTATTGTATTGTTGTTGTTTTGTTTTGTTTTTCATTTTCCCGCGAGCGTTTATTATTGTATGTGTTTATATTCATGTTGTTAGTTTGTCTATGAAATTTATTTATTTTGTTTCCTAGTTTATTTATTTATTTTTAATGATTGTTTTTTAAACGTTCACAATAGATCATAGCTACTAATCATTTATAAAGATCATTTTATACAGAGTTTCATCTATGCTTATGCTTATACTAATGTGGTATGGCAGCTCGAACTGATGTACGTACGTACGAAGTTCTACGTTGTTACTGACTGATGCTTAATGAATTGTTTTAATCTTCAATAATGTGACATTATATTTTTATGCTATTGACAGATGAAATGCTAGCAGATTTCTTCTTTTTATCCTACTGTATGCTTCAAATGATTATTATACTTAGTGCGTGTGTATGTGTGTCTTTTACAAATATATAATTGATACAATGTTTTGTTGATTTTCTTTTGTTTCTTCATTCACTGTAATTTAGTCTTAGATTTAATGTGATTATTATTTTTCTAGTATTTTAACATGTACACATAATAATAATAATAATAATAATAATAATAATAATAATAATAGTTTGGGCTTGAATCCTTTAGCAACACATCTTACATAGTAATTTCTCTACATTCAAAGTTTTTCATCTTCATATATGATTTCTCTTTTCAATTGAAATCATTGGTTTCCATGTTTATGTTCTATTTCAATATAGATAGATTTCAATCTTATTTGATGATAACATGACAATTTAGAGCATTCCTGATATTTTTCATATATATTTGTCTTATTTTGTGTAATATTATTGAATATATTGAAATTATTACGCTGCACTTATGTGTCTTCATCTTTTCATTCATCATAACAAATATTTCATGTTCATGATTACTTTCTTTTCTTTTTTTTAAAAAAAGGGAAAAGAAGATAAAAATTTTCGATGCATATCATCATCTAGTTTTTTTCTGTTCGCTTATATGTCTTAATTTGTGCTGTTTGCTTTTCTTCTTCTTCTTCTTCTTCTCCTTTATTTTGATCCTTATTTTTGTCTAAATTTTTTTTTGTATTTGTCATTAGATTGAATAAATCTAAATGTTGATTAAAATTTTGTTTTATTGTTTATTATTTTATGGATAAACGAGGTACATAAAAAAAAACATGGAATGATTAACTATTGTACTCATTAGTAATAAATTTACTAATGTTTATGACTAGTTATATGATTATAAGTAGTTAGATTTAGTTTATCAAATTATTGTTTTTCTGTAACGTGATAACCGTTTTTAAAACAAATCAGTAACTTATTGAAGTATTGGAATATTAGAAAATATGTAATATATATATTTTTCAGTCAGATCTTTGGAAGCAGTTACGATAACAATCAAGGTATATGTTATCAATGCCCCCAAATGCCCTGGTACGGCCGAGAGTGAGGAGAGCCCACTCTCCCTCTCGAAATGCTCTCACATGGCCACGCGTATATAGTCACTGTTATAAGAGTTCTACTCACTACCTTCTCGTGGCAGGGGTGTTGTTTACGGAATTGAGAGGACGAAAGACGAATGTTCGGAGCTATAACCGGGTTGGTGGACATGGAAAGTCCACCTAGGGGAGTCGGAAAACCCTGATTTCAAACCATTGGTGCACATGGGCTTCAGTATCCTGAAGGAACAAATGGCGTATGAACCAATCGTTGGTCACCTGCTACTATGGG